GGGGTGGGGAGGGAAAGAGCAGAATGTTTTAGAAGGGATGTTCTGCAAGGCATCTTCCTGCTCGTTACCTTTTCCACACCTGCTCCTGGCTCTAGTGCCAGCTCAGATACACTGCAGAGGACAGACTCGCTGAGAGGAGAGACGGGCAATGCTTATTCTGGGCAGTAGGTGGTGCCCTTGCTTCTGTCTCAGCACTCTGGCTAGTTTCTTTACTTTGGAGACCGAGGTCTCGGAAGTGATGCCTTGTATGCTGTACATTGAGTAAGAGAGAAATGACTACAACTGTTGGGATGCTTTTCCGTGCCAGGCATTTGAAGAGCACATGGTCTTAGAGAATGCCATTCAGTCCACGCAGCTCCCTGACTCCTCCTTCAGTCTATGCTCCTCTTCTACTTTCTCTCTTCCTATATTGTATCTCAATTTTCCTCTTTGTCATTAAAGCCATCAAGCATTGAGGACTTACTATGAACCAGGCAGTGGGTTGAGTCCTCTCAGACATGATTTCATTCAATCTTTAAATCACACATATTTGCAACAATTCTGTTGCTGTCCTTCTCCTGGTAAGAACCTTGAATAGATATAACAGATATATAAATGGTGGGCAATGTTTTTCATGTCTGACAAGGCTTCACTTCTTTTTCTATGTCATGTTTATGAGCTGCAATTCAGATTCACAGATAGTCTATTTTCTACTGGTGACGGTTGCCTTATACACAGAAATAAGCCCACTTGTTCATCAGAATAACTAAATAGCTAAAAGAGTTAAAATAGCATCTTCACACACCGTAAAATGAAACGATCCAAATCCAAAATGGTCATGTGAAGGTGGCCATATGTATTTGTTCCTTTCCCCTGTAATCCTCCACTTTTGTCAACCCTGATGTTAGTTGTCTTACTATAGTTCTTGTATTGGTTTGTACAAATATGTTATTTACTTATCCCATTTTTCATACATCAATTAGCTAGTTTTTAATGAGCATCTACACAGCAGGCTTTGGTTTAGAGAACTTTTTTTTCTTGCTTCCCCCCTCCTTAGGGTTTTGCTAGGTAGCTGAGGATAACTTCCAATTCACTAAGTATTTCATATTGACCTCAAATTTATTTACTCCTGCTTCAGCCTTCTGAGTGTTGAGACTGCAGACATCAATAATCCCATACCTAAGTAGAGACACATGCTTGATTTAATATAGATGTTTGTCTCAAGGATATGACAGTATCATAGAAGAGGCATTCTTATAAATATGGCATCATAGAATGATGTAATAGGCTTTATGATATAGGTGGCCATGTGGTGCTGAAAGGCCATTACTTTTACGGTCAGCATACTCTTAAGCAGGCAATTAAAGTGTTTTAAATGAGTGAATAAACCCAGTTCATTGATCAGCTAAACATCTTGGAGGAAGAACTCTAAAGCAGAAACGAAAGGGTGAGTTAGGCAAGTGACAGGGGTGGTGTTGCTCAGAGCTGAGAGGAAGTGTGATTCATGGATGCCCCTGGCTATCCTAGGCTCTAGAAAAAGTCCTTGAATCACTGTATTCTGTACAACAGATGTTCAGTGAAGTTGCAGGGACTCTCTAGATTCTTCTAGTCAGAGTTGGTCATGTCTGCCACCATCAGCTTGCATCATATACACTGTAATGCTTAATATCAGTTGTCAAATTTCTGAGATCTAGAATCGCATGGAAATATGCCTGTGGATTATCTTGATGAGATTAAATGAGATGGGAACTGTACACGGTGGGTAACACCATTCCCTAGACTTGGATTCTGGATTATATAAAAAAATGCTTAGCAAGTTATGTGGTGTTGGTGCACATCTTTAATCTCAGCTCTTGGGAGGGAGAGACAATTGGATCTCTATGAGTCTGAGACCAGCTTGATCTACAAAGTGAGTTCTAGGACAGCTAGGACTGTTACACAGGGAAAGCTTATCTTGAAAACAAACAAACAAAAACAAAACAAACCCCCAAACCAAAAGAAAAGAAAAGAAAAGAAAACAAACAAACAATCAAAAAGCACCAAAAACTAAGAAAGCAAGTTGAGTACAAGCAGTAATAACTTCCTACTTCTGACTGCGTGTATGATATCAAGCTCCTAAGGCTATAGTTTCCCCACCACGGTGGATTGTACCCTAGAACTGAGCCAAATAAAGCCTTTCTTCCACAAGTTGCTTTTGTATGGGTATTTTATCTCAGGAACAGGAAACGTAGCAAAAACATGACTGGCATTCATAGAATGGCATGTGACGCTGGTTTTAGAGCAGTCGTGGGACACAATTTCTCATTGAATCTAGAAGCCTCTGTGAGTAATTTCTGAACTTGTCTGGCATCTGGCTCTGCCCTACCTGTTTCTCTTCTTTCTTAGATCCTTCCTAGAACACATTCTTTTTGCCTGAGGAGCACAGATCTTCTTAGCTTTCTGCATATAACCCTTAACTCACCATGCATGGTTTCTTTTTGTATTTTATTCTACATTAATATTCTTTCTCTGTATTCATTCTTTTTCCATGATATATACATGTGAATGAACATTGTGTTCACAGGAACTGTGTCTTTTTATTGTACCCATTTTTTTTAGATACAGTCTAAGAATAATTAAGGAATTTGGATAAGATTGCTGAGTTAGTAAATGCAGAAACAGGGTTATAAATCATGCAGTCTGAATCCACAGTTCACACCACTTCATACAATGTCCAAAGAGCATATGTTGAGTTGGTTAGTTAAGCATCACATTTGCACCACCATGATATGGAAATATTCCATGTTAAAATTAGGTGTGTGCCTCTTCTCAATGTCTTTAAACTTTCGTTGCAAAAACTAATTACCCCTCCCCTTTCCTCTCCCCCATCTTGCTGGATCAATATCTTGCATACAAAAAGGATCACCAGAAATATGTTCATGTGTTAAGACATTGTTAACATAAAAAATTTCTTTAAATCTCTGAACATTTACTCGTGGCCATTGTCTCTAGTCTACCATGGGCCATCTTTGAACAGTCATTGTCTTCCTGGTTAAGCTCGTAATGTGTCGATGGATATAAGAGTGAATCACAAATGTTTGACCTAAGGTTTGATGAAAAGAACTGGGGAACCTTAAGCCTTATGATTTTTTTCTTTTTAACCACGAGAAAATCTTTGCTTGGGCCTTTCTGTGAAGGGAATGTTTCTAATTGCTAAAGAAATAGGGTAGGGGCTCGGCAACTCCATCTACATCCATATTAACAATGGGAAAGGAAAATTGGGTCAGAGCCTAAAACAGTCAAAGCTACTATTTGAAAAGCATAGATTGCTCTTTGGTACACAGATTGCATTTGGGAAGGGATGATGGACCTTGTCACTGATGCCACAAGGCAGGGTTGTTATTGATGAGTACTCCGGTAGAACATTATATTTTGAAAAATCTCATTTTGAAGTTTTTCATTGCACTTTAACACACTGGTTATTTCTGATGATAAATAGCAGGAGATTATAAAGAAGACAGGTAAAGGAAATACACCACATGCAAAGGCATAAACAGCCTCAGGCACTGAAACTTGAAAGGATTCAAGGAGACTTAGCTCATGACTCTCATTAAGGTAAGGAGCCCCTGTTCCTGCAAGGTTAGTGATAGGACCATAGGCACGGAGTTTGCTAACAGATGAGCTGGAATGAATATCCTGGTGCCTGGCTATATCAGCCTCAGCAGCCCCAAAAGCTCCTAGGGTGAGAACAGCAATGTTTCAAGTGTAATGCATTGTTAGACTGGCCAATTGTCCACCATGGACACTCTCTGTTGGGTCAGTACCATCTTTTTACAAAGCTGCCCTAGAAACATCTCAAGGAGACAATGTCCCACCGTGGCTGGCCTTGTGACCACTTCCATTTGTTGGTCAATTCCCATACACATGAAGTTTTAGTTTTGGCTTGGATAATTATGCTATAACCTTGAATGATGACTGATGGCTTTTCTTTTTTTAATTTTTTTTAATTTAAGAGTTTTTTATTTTGCATACCAGCCACAGTTCTGCCTCCCTCCTTCCAACCACTCCCCTCACTTTCCCCCATTCAACCCTCATCCACTCTTCAGAAAGGGTAAGGCTTCCCATGGGGAGTCAACAAAGTCTATTATATCAAGTTGAGGGAGGAGTTTGGTCTACATAGAGATTGAGCAAAGTATCTCTCTATAGGGAATGGGCTCCAAAAAGCCAGTTAATACACTAGGAATAAATCCTGGTCCCATTAGTGGTGGTCCCACAGACTGCCTAATCCGTAAAACTGTTACCCATATCCAGAGGGCCTAGTTTGGTCCTAAGCAGGTTACCCAGCTGTCAGGCAAGCCTTAGTCAGTGAGCTCCCACCAGCTTGGGTCAACTGTCTCTATGGTTTTCCCAATCATGATCTTGACCCTTCCCCCTTGCTCATATGATCCCTCCTCCCTCTCTTCAACTGAACTTCAGCAGCTCAGCCCAGTGCTTGCCTGTGGATCACTGAATCTGCTTCCATCAGTTACTGGATGAAGATTCTATGATGACAATTATGGTGGTCATCAATCTGATTGCAGAAGAAGCCCAGTTCAGGCACCCTCTTCACTATTGCTTGGAGTTTTAGTTGGAATCATATTTGTGGATCCCTGGGAACTTCCCTAGCACCAGTTTTCTTCTTAACCCCAAAATGGCTTCTTCTATTCAGATAGAATAAATATCTTCTTTACTTATCTCTTTCCTTACTCTCCCTCTCTGTCCCTCCCACAACGCAACCATCTCATTCCCTCATATTTTCCTCCCCTTCCCCTTAAACCCTCACCTCTGTGATCCCAGTTTACTCAGGATATTGTGTCTATTTCCCCTTCCCTGGGGGCATTGATGCAGGTCTCTCTGAGGGTCCTCTTTGTTACCTAGCTTCTCAGGGGTAGTGGATTGTAGATTGGTTATCCTTTTTCTTAAGTCCAATAACCCACTTCTAAGTGAGTACATACCGTGTTTGTCTTTCTGGGCCTGGGTTACTTCAATCAGGATGGTTTTTTATAAATACAGACTTCTTCATGAATTTGTGTGTCATCCTTGCACAGGGACCATGGTAATCTTCTCTGTATCATCCCAATTTTAGCATCTGTGCTGCCAAAGAGAGCGTGACTGATGACTTTTCAAAGACAGATAGATGCTACTGTGATTAACTTCATAGAGTTTTATTTTTTGTACTATCCCAAATGCTTTCTCATGTGTTTTTTTCAAGTCAATGATACATTTAAAAACAACTAGACACAAATAGGAATCAGCAAAATATTTGGCTGAAAAGTTCTCTTGCGTGAAACATTGCAAGCCAAAATCTAGGAGACTATGTGTTAAAAATGTCTATGAACTTAGGGATACACAGACACTGAACTATTTGTAAAGCCCAGGATAGTTAAAAGTGCACCAAAGGGCATGGATCAAAAACCAATGTTTTTGAGTCAGATATTCAAAGTACAATACCTTAATGGGGCTGGTACTGCCTATTTCATTGTATTGAATTTAGAAGTAAGTGAAATAATGATCCAGTATGATGCCTAGTTCCTAGATAACATGTGAGAGATGATGACTACCAACCATTCCATGGACTGGTACCACCCTACCTTGCTTACTGTTACTTTAACACAGCCACCATCATCTTGTCACTGATAGCATCATCATGATCAGCATCACTACTGCCACCATCATAGTCATCTTATAGACCCTGAGTTCCATGATATAAGGCTACCTGGAAGATATCTCAGCCCCTTTTTAAAATCTTGCTCATCACTTTCTTCCTGTTAACTCCTTGTCATCTGTGCCTTGTGGGAACTACTTGAGAAGTGTCAGCCCTAAAGTCACCCTCTACATCTTGAGTTCTTTGGCGATCTCTTTAGTTTGTATCCTCCTCCTTCTGTCCTTGACTTCTTCCCATGAGGTTTCTTGTTGGGTACCATCTGTATCTCTTAGAATTTAGGAGCTGAGCAGTGAAAGGAAGTGTCCAACCATCCGTTGAATCTTTCTGTTCCTAATCATGGTGTACATAAGGTACAACTAAACCTTGGGTTGTACTCTGCTTTGCCTTTAGGGTAGAGTACTATCTTTGCCCCAGGCTTCTCCTTTTCATGGTCTGTCAATCTAGTTCCTGGATAGGATTTGCTAACTTTTGGAAACTCAGTCTAGTTGGCTGGGTCCTGCTGGCCTTCACGGTTTATATAAGTCTTCTCTTCCAGAGGTCTGGATTCCCTATCCCTTCTATGACTCATGAGTCGGCAGCCGAGGTATATGTTCAAAATGAGCTCAAATTACTTCCAGTGTTGGTTTGTATTAGTAGAGCTTCTTGGGGCATATGGTCAAACTCAACCCAAATAGACTGGAACAAAACCAAAAAAAGTTTGGAAGTTACTAGTATTGAATTTGATTGAATCTAGGGATTAAGAGTTAACTATCAGAAGTATCTGTGTGTCTTGGTTCCAGTTTCTTTCGTGTTGACTTCTGTGGGTCTGAAAACTGTGCCATTCTTTGTCTGTTATCCAGGCAGCATAGGGGGTGTGGTGGGGATAGAGACAGAGAGACAGAAAGAGACAGAGAGACACATATACACCCAGAGAGACAGACATAGAGATAAATAGAGAGAAAGAAGATGTGGAGGAAGAAGAGGAAGGAGGAAAGGGGGAAGAGGAGAAAAAGACTTTTCAATAATTCTTAGTGATGTTTTGTAATTGACATCTATTGTGTTGATGTGAATCAGATGTCCATCCTTGGGATATGTACTGTGAACTGAAACATAAGACACATGATGATCGGTCAGGCATGAGGTATGTGATTATTTCTAAAAGAGGTCCAAGGTCAATCCTCTGTCAATTTACTTGGTCATAGATGAGAGTTTCTCGAAAAAAAAAAAAGACATCCATATCCAAAGGCTAAAGAAAGAGTAATTATTTATTGCCGAGACTGATTCTGAAGACTTCTATTGCCTTAATGTAACTCTAAGTTTACTTTGCTAGGGGTATGGGAGAGAATGACACTGGAGGAAGCAAACCTGTCTGAGGATTTATTTCCCATGTACTTATTGCTGATCTGTGTATTCTCATTGAAATGGGGATGGCCTGGCCTTCTGCTCAGCATTTACTTTGGAGCTTAAATTGCATAGTACACACAGTGTTGAGCACACAGTAGGTGTTCAGGTAGTTCTGATTTTCTCCTTTGTGTCCCACTCTGTATACCTTGCACTTGCATATGTATACTTTCAACAGATCATTGAGCTGTACCAGAGAGGCTACCAACCATCTATTTATCTATGTCTTCTTTTTATTATCATGCCACTGAGATCACAAAACCTGTCTATCATCATGAATTATAACATCAATAAGAGAAAAAGGCAATAATATTGTCATTTTTTTCTGCCCAATCTGATTTTTCCTAGATCTTTTCTATTTTCTCTGAACTAGAAGAAAGGAAAAGTGGAATAGAGAAGAGCAATAGGTCCTTAATGAGCCTGGGACCTTTAGCAGAGTTTTAAATAAATATCTGGATATCCCTCAGTGAAATAGTACTTGATTTTGCAATTACTCTTTATTCGTTTATGTATTTTGGGGTTAATTTATAACCCCCTGAAGGTGGAAACAAAGGATCAGGCATTATAATGATCAATCCTAGTACTCTGACTATGAAATCCTACTAGTTAATATTATTTACTGTGTATCTTCTGTAAGTCAAGCACATACCAAATGCTTGGCATAAATTATTTGATTTATCATCTACTAATGTGCACAACAGTAGAACATGTCAGTCTAATGCATGCATTTATTCATCCCATTGTTTACTCATCTATCTATCTATCCACTCATCTGTGTATCAATCCAGATCCATTCATTTGTCCATCCATTCAGACCTTCCCTTATTCTTCTCTCAATCTCCTTATACATCTTCCATTAATTTGTTGACTCATCTATCTGTCCAGTCACTCAACTTTAAATGAACATAAACCAATTTTAGACTTTTTAATTTCTTATCCAAATAGGTCCTTATCTTGCTCCAGGTAAACTATTGATGTCATTGCCCGTCACCCAACACTCAGAATTATTATCAGGATTAAATAAGTGATGTGGAAAGCCAACAGGTTTATAAGGAATTAATAAACAAAATGCATCCTCTGTTCAGCTTTCATACTCAAGAGGAGGAAATGGAAGAGTCTTCATTGGCTTTTAAAGTGTCTCTACAACAAATGATCATAACCTTAGTATATTAACGTGACATGCAATGACTATCATCCTGTCTTGGAGGTCATAAGCATGAAATGGGTCTCTTGAAGTTACAGAAATGTCTCCTTCACTGGTGGACTTTGTGGAATAATCTGTTTCATTGCCTTTTGGAATAACTGTCTTCATTCTGAATATAGCTCCCTCACCTTTAAGGACAGAAATTGTACTCCCATGACATCTTTTTTCCATTGTTTACGTTCTTTTATTAACTTGTCTGTTTTCCCTTTCTGTCTTCTGGAGAGGTCCATGTGATACTTATGGATCTAACTGGACTCACTTGGTTTACCTAGATTATCTAAGGTAATCAACTTGTCATGAGATTTCAACCTACCTCAGTAGTTGAGTCCCCTTGGACCAATTAATTAGAGTGTTTTAAGGTCTGAGATTTAAGACAAGGGTACATCTAGGGATTATTGATTGTCACCATCGATGTTATTACCACGCTTGCTTTCCCTGAAAAAATGGCTAAATCTTAATTGCTACACTTGAAAACTGGTCTTAATAAAAAGCATCGCCACCACTGAAACTTGATGTTGAAATGTACAAGCACTCCTAAAGAAGTTAGTGGAACAGGCAGGCACAACAACTGCTCACTAAAACATGGATATGTATAGATACAAAGATGCCAATGATGAGCCTCTGCAAAGTGACCTGTCTGCAACCCTGCTGGAGAGTCTCCAGATGGATGGGAATGAACAGAGGGTCATAGAGGTTCTCTCCATTGCATGCTTTTATCCTAACAAAGTCTAGAGATTGTCTTTGGGACAGAGTGTCTAGGTTCTTTGTCTAGAGCAATGATTTAATTTAGGAACACTGTATGTCCACGTGTGCTGAATGACATTAATATGTAATACAAATATGTGTTGATAAACAATTTTAAAAGTAAGATTTATTTGGCTTAGTCAGAGGTAGAACTTTAAATTTCTAAAAGGTATGTGTGTTCATGTTTGTATTCGGAATGAAGAGTGGGACAGTATGGAAAGGAGGGTACAGTGACTTTGCTCGACACAGTGCTGCTTTTAACATTCAGAACATGAATGCTGTGATTTCCCTTTCTTCGCTCTTTTTTCCTGCACAGGAAATATTTGAATCTCCCAAAGCAAGTTGATTTTTCATTTGAAAGGTCCACAGGTATCACTTACAAAAATTGTTGGAATAAAACTTACTGGAAAATGTAATCAAACTGAAAAAAATTGTTTGACAAGCAAGGATTACATTTAGGAAGTGATATGTATTTGTCCCTCAACCATGGTGAAGTCTGTGCTGGCACATGACAGGACTTGGCATATTTGCCCCGTCATGCCCTGTCCCTGCTGTGAGGGAGCTTCCTCAATCTGGCCATGCTTCAATCTCTTAAATGTCACCCATCAGAGAAACAAAGAGCTGCCCCATGCTGAAAGGGTGCCAAATTAGGTGGCTTTTTGTTTCACTGTTGAATTCCGGATTTCTGAATGTGAGTTGTTTGTCAGACAACAGAAGTTCTGCTGCTTCAGAGCAAGGATCTCTCTATGTTCCTGGTGGTATTAGAGGTCAGTCAGAAGATTCTCTGGCTGGGAGTGCTCGGTCTCATAGCCCAGAGTCTCCACCTGGTCTCTTCTTTCTTGAAACTGGACAGTTCAAAGCAGTTGAACAAAGGATTTGTCATCGAAAAAACTCAGAATTTTGGAGTGATAAGTTGGAACTCATATAAGTGGGTTATTTTAAGAGTAATAATTATATTATTTGTGATGTGGTTATGGAAACAAAGAAACCTAGGCATGGTAAGTGTGTTCTACCTCTGCTTCTAGGCCATGTGTGGCCACAGACAGTTATGAATATAGCCAGACACAAAACTCTAAACTTACTTAAAGCACTAAGAGCTGTGTTTTTATGACAAT